TGCCCTCCCGACCCCTATCCACATACCCGCCCCCTGACAGCCCCCCGGGACTCCCACGCCTATCCAACCCCACCCCCGTCCCCTGACTGCCCTGACCCCTATCCACACCCCTGCCCTAACTGCCCTGACCCCTATCCACACCCCTGCCCTAACTGCCCCCCGGGACCACACTCCCTATCCAACCCCCCCTGCTCCCTGTGCCCTGACTGCCCCAACCCCTATCCACACCCCCGCTCCCTGACAGTCCCCCTCCCCCGGGACTCCCACACCTATCCAACCCTCCCTGTCCCCTGACCTCCCCCCACCCCCAACTTCTGCCCCATCCAACCGCCCCCTGTCCCCTGACTGTCCCCCGGGACCCCCTACCCCTTATCCAACCCCCACCCCCTTATCATGATGCTAAGAGCAGCAGGAGCTCACAGCCCCACTTCCTGGCCAGAGCCAGCCACGCCACCCACGCTGCCCAGCAGGAGCAGTGGGCCAGAGCGCTGGCAACGCGGTGCACTGTGGCTGCCAGGTGACAGTGGGGGGCGGGAGGGGTGGGCAGAATGGTCCCACAGGCCATAGTTTGTCCACCTCTTATCTAGTCAATCACAGGAGGCACTGCGCCACTCTGAGACAGAATGGCTTATGGTGTTCCCCATGGGGCAGTGCAGCTCTGGACTGCCCCCAAAGTAGGACACAATGTAGCCCTGTGTAGTCATTTCCTTCTAGTTAGCTAAATAGCTAACAGTCATGTATTGATGATTGAAGCATGTAGGGGGAGCTCTGGCCTGCCATCTTTCTGCTGAGTTGTTCCCAGGAGAGGTGTATCTAGACAGCTGCCCCAGTGCCCCTTCAAATGCAGATGGTATGATTCTCGATATCCCTTACCCAAGATGTGCAGAGATGGGTGGGGAGCTATTACTCTCCCTGCTCCCCACCATATAACTGGAGGGCACAATGTAGTCCAAAGTCCAGCCTTTGCCAAGAATAACTAAGTACTCCATACTGGCCACATGTACTGTAGGTGCAGTGAGTAGGGTCAGTAAGTTGCATGTCAGTGAAACATAAACATAAGAACACCCAATTATATATTTATATGTAGTCCAAAGTTAAATTGCAAAAAGTTGGAATTTCTTAGTAGTAATATGTATGATATAATTTGAAAATAAAAGAATCTAGCTTTTGGCCGTCCCCTCCCCCTTCCCCTTGCAATCCCTTCTTGTTCTGGACCCCTGTGCTGCTGGGGCCTGGCCAACGTTTTGCACACATGGCTGCACTGCTTTTAACTTTCACTTTTAGTAAAGGAGCTAAATCAAGGGCTGTATAATAGTGCTGAAAGCTGCAGCTGTGTCAATTATTTCAGTTGAGAACTGGCATTTTGTTTCTTTAAATGGCATCAGTCATGGCTTCAAACTCAGACACAACACTGTTAGCTTGCGGTTTAATTAAAAAAATGATGTTGGGAGAACTGAACGCGTCAGGTATAATGAAAGGTAAGGTGTCATTACTCTGGTAATATATTAGTGAAAGCTGTTGATGCACCAGCAGTGGCATTTAATTTTTTCTCTTTGCTTGTACTTCTGAAGTCATAGATGTGACATCTGACATGCAAGTAAAGTTTAATATTGATGTGATCTCATAGGTGATGGGCCAAATTTGTCGTTGGTGTGATTGTGTTGATTGCAGTGGAGCTGTGCCCATTTACCCAAGGGAGGAACTGGGTTCATACTCTAGAGATATATTTTGGTTGGCACTCTGGAAACGGGTAGTGCCCACAGAAAGGAGCACACACATGCTGCCTGTGTTCTGGCTGAGTGCAACTCAACATAGAACTACATGTGCATTCTGTTTCTACTAAGAATAACCCGTGCAAGTGGATCTCCACAGAGATTATTGCTGGATGAAGGAGTGTATGAGAATAAACATATGGATGATGCCCCCCAGATCACAGCCTATGCTGGCCATCTGTCATATGTGCAGCATTTGCTTTGGACATAACTAACCTAGGAGGCAGAATAAAGGCAGCTGACTTCTGTCACGTACTCCCACTACTAGCCATGGGGTAGAAGAATTTATGAAAATCTAAAGCACCCTTTCCTCTGGGTGATTTAGATTAAAATACAGATGTACATGTTCATTGAGCCAATCAGAGAACCTGCCCAGAGCTCAAATTGCCTGCCAAAGGTGAGTCCTCTACCCCAGATAACCTTGTGTCCTTCCTTCTGTTTCATTATTAAATGCCCTGAAAAAGAGATGGGCTTTGCAGTGTGCCTGGGAGGTTAATAAATCTGGGCCCTGGCATGCCAAAGCAAGGAAGAACGTTCCAGAGTTCAGGGCAGTGCCCTGCTAGCACTCAGGAGGCTCCAGCTCAGTAGCCTCCACCGATCTCAATGGCAAATGGGGAGAGAGAGGCGGTTTCACGTAATCAGGAGCCACTAATAAGAGCTTTATAGTTTCTGGCATGAGGCCATGCACAGGACAAGCCAGTATTGGCCTATTGTTACTTGTTTCTTTAAATCATTATAACATTTCCCCCTCTCAAAATGCGTTTCTCACTTTTTATTTGTGAGTGTGAAAGAACCTTTATGGTGGTGCCTAGAGGTGCCCAGTTTTGTTTACCTCACCGTTTATGCCTGTTTTCAAAAGCCCTAGGGCTGTAAGCAGGCTGAGTATAACTTTAATGAGTGTTCCAAGGTCTTGATGTGCTGGGCAAAATTTTCAGACTTTGGGTGCTGGCTCCTACATCTACTTTTAGGCCCCCCGGTTTGCTTTGCAGAAGCAATGAGATCCTTTAGTTCCCACTAAAGCCGGTGGGAGCTGGGGGTAATCAGAACTCTAAAAATCAAGTCCTTTTTATTTAGGAGGCTAAATATGGATTTAAGAGCCTAACTTTAGGTACTTATGTTTGAAATAACTTGGTGTTAACTGGCACACTTTGTGGCAGTCTTACTAGAGAGGACAAAGACAGAATTGGTGAAGGTGATAGTATTAACCTCCCATCCCTAGAGGTTCATTGGCAGTGCTGAGTAGAAAGATTGACCTGCTGTCCTACAGGTACCTTTCTTTTGCCTATTCTGTGTATTATTAGAGAAAGATGGCTCTGGAGAATGATAGTCAAGTACTTTTCATAAGCACTAAATATCCTCAAAAATAAAAAATAGAAAAACTCATATTTTAAAAAATACCCGAACACACAATCATATTTGAAATCCTTCAGTGAGTATGAGTCAGAATCAAACAAAATAGTGAGCAGCATCTGTCTTTCCTTCTTCCTGTAGTGAAAGGAAGATGGAAACAAGGATTGACTGTAATTGTAGGCTTATAAGGTACTGCTGTGACCTAGCTAAAGTGTATATAACTGACATATGCTCTCTCTCTCAACAGTACACACTCTAACCTAAATCATAAGGCACTACTTGATCCAGTGTCCATTGAAATCAATGGGAAGATGCCCATGAACTTCAACGGACATTGGATCAGGCATTCTGTACGCACCAAGAATTTTCTGCTTAGTGTTAGGTGTATTGATTTTCTGTTCCTATTTATTGATCCTGACTTTGTTTCAAACCTCAGGGTTTTTTTGTTTTTTGTTTTTTGTTTGTTTG